AGAGTCGGTTCCTGAGTCGGGGGGTTTTAGGGTTTTAGGGTTTCGGAGCTTTAGGGTTGCTGCTTTACCTATCCAGGAGCTACTTGGGTGAGCAGTGGGAGGTTGGGGATGGGAAGGTGACGGGCTTTGTGAATCTGTTTCTATCCGGGGCGATACCTGGCGGGGGTGTTGTGGCGGGGGTGTCGAGGGCTGTGGATTAGGGTAGGTCTTAGGGGACGCGCCCTGAACTCGTCGTTTTAAGTTCGAAATAAGACCTCCTGAACAACCCCCCCCCCACACACACACACCTGCGGCAGGTGTTCCCGGATGATGCCTTCCCGATTTAGATTCACTCGCCACAGCAGTCTCCTAGCCTTGCAGGCGTTAAGTACGGCAATGTACTCGTTGCGGCCGATACCTAGCACCGCCAAAGCGTCAGCGGCCTGTGGTTAGAGAGTGGAGGGAAGAGTGGAGGGAAGAGTGGAGGGAAGAGTGGAGGGAAGAGTGGAGGGAAGAGTGGAGGGAGGAAGGGGGGAAAGATGATGAAGGGGGAAAATGCGGAAAAGGAGGGAACGAGGGAAACGATATAGAGTTTTAGTTAGTTAAAAGTCAGGTGGCTGATGCGCGGCTGCGTGAGGTGGCAGCTAGGAAGGCAAGTAGGTAAAGTGGTCGGCGGGTTGGGAGGGGGGTACGGAGGGGGGCATTACAAGACCGGACATGTACGACATGTAGGACGATAATGTCTTTACAAACCGACAATGTAACTGAAACGGATAACGGCAACCCGGATAACGCCATGGACGAGAGAGAGGTACAACGGTGCTTGGGCCGCGGACGAGTGTACGGTGTACGGATGGCCCGGCAATGTACCGTAAAGTTGGGCATCCTGTCGTACGACCGCTCGTCCTTGAGCGCTTGAGTCATCAAGTCGAGGTAGTACTTGAACGGCGTGATGCGCGCCACGCGACACAGGTAGTCCGACAGGTGGTACGGAAAAAGCTGTGCACGGAAAAGGGACACAAGTACGACATTACGAGCAATTCAAGGCCGAGAAATAAGTTACAGGAAGCCAGCGCGTGGCAGCTCTAGGCGCAGATGTGATAACGATGGGAGAAGCAGAGGAGTACGGCAGAGGCCCCCGCGGTGTGTGTGTGTGTGTAGGGGTGTGTCTGTTACATATCGATCCGGGCCTGACGCTGGCCAGGGGTACCTAATCGTATACCCCAATGGGAATGACCGAAGCCGAAGCACTCTGCTCCTTGCGGGGTCCTGTTCGACCGAGGGCGTGCACCCCCGCGTTTCCCCCTCTGTCAAGAGGAAAGAGTATTGAGTGTATCCGTTACACGTCGTGTGTGTGTATGTGTTGTGTGGGAAATGCG